TGCATTTTAGTATACTTGATGTTTGGCATGTCCATGTTATAAATGTTTCACCTTATTTACAGGCAGGATTCCAAATACAAAGTGGTTGAATTTGGATGCTGGGGGGATTTAACTTGATCAAACAGGAGCTATTAAGGTTGCTGACTGTTTATTTGTTTCTTATTGTTGAACTTTCTGTTAATTTCTTTTAAGAAATGGGTGGACATTCACTCACTTTATTGTTCGTATATGATGCTGTTTAAAAGTTTTGATTTTGTTGATTAAATCTCACAAACAGAATGAGTTCTGATATTCTTCTTTGTTCCCTTCAAAATGTTCATAAGTAGTTTGATTGTTTCTGGATAGGGGCATGGAAACCTAATATGATTCTCTCTTATTCTTTTAAAATGAAATCGTTGCTATAAAACAACTTTAGGCTCAAATTTTTTGCAGGCCTTTGTCTTTTTATTAGTGATGGTTTTTACCTTTGGTTTTATGAATGGTTGAATCTGATGGCACGATCAGGTTAAAATTGCAATCTTTATGACTAGGTTTTATACAACATAGAAGATGACCGCGTGACTAAGATTACCTTTATTTTGCAGGTGGATGACTACTTACGGACCAACATACCCGGTATATGGGCAGTTACGAATCGAATGAATCTTACACCTGTAGCATTAATGGAGGGAACCTGCTTTGCAGTTTGTATTCTGTCTGGAGCTCCTTTATTTCTCTGCATTTAACAATCTTAAATGCATTGCCTGTAGAAAACTGTTTTTGGTGGATGACCTAGCAAACCAGACTATGGGAATATATCCTGTTCTGTTTTTAGGTAATGTTTGTATCCTTCAGAGCATGCCCCGCTGATTTTGTTTTGACTTGCTTGATTAATGAAGATTTCCCAAAACAGTGGCAAGATATATATTTCTTGGTTCTAATGATCACAAGAAGTCCAAGTTATTCATTGTTCCTTATACTTTGTGGTAGCAATCTTTATCATGAGATTCTAAGGGCTATCATTACTTGATACCCCTCTGATTTAAAATGAAGTTCTTCAGCTGTAATGAACAGTTGCCTCACCTGATTTAGGCAACTGTCGTTTGGGTTCCCTATGTTGAAAGTAGATATCTAGCCATAGGGTTTTTTTTTTTTTCTTTCCTTAGAATGTAACTCTCAGTTTGGAAAGTTGTCTTTTCGACTTTCATAAGCATCAGATGACTGATTTGTTGTTTTGCAGCATACCACCACTTTCCACTGTTGGCCTTAGTGAAGAACAAGCAGAAGAGCTGGCAAATAGTGATATTCTGGTCTTTGCATCATCCTTCAATCCAATAAAGAACACAATAACTGGGTATGTATTGGTGATTTGAGATTTTATTTTTCCGACATTGTGTTTGGATGTTGAAATGTGAAAACAAAAGAAGAGAGAAATAAAATACTAGAATGACTAATTTTTCTCTCTTGTTTGAATTTCCCAGTAAGATTTTGTATACATAAGAATATATTAATGAAGATACTAAAACAATGGGTTTTGTTTTAATTTTGGACTCCAAACCAATAGCAAGCACAACATTTTAATCTAACCAAATGTTCCATTAGTTTTTTTATTTTACTTTAGATTTCCAAAACCCAAACACAGTCTAGATAAATTGATAATATCGTGAATGAGTTCTAGTGTTGTTAACTGGGAAAATCACACATCAAGTGATTGAGGGGAAACCTATGGACTTTTAAATAAATAAATAATATGGGCCTCTCCACCTATTGCTAATTGGTTTTAAGGTTGGACAATCTTATTCAAGTTTAAACTGGAGAA